CAAAATTTTCACCGTCAAACTCTGACCTGGAATTGTGTTATATGCGTGTTTAAAGGCCATACTGCATTTATAATCATAATAATACTTTAATACTTTAATACTTACTCTTCTGCTGGTACTTGTGGATTTGGATTGTCCCGCATGGATCTGGTTTTGGGGTCATAATAGGCCGAATTAGGATCCAAGTTACGGAGGTACTTGGCGATATCTTCACGTATACGTAAGTTGCGTACTGTAATAAGTTGTTATGAATCCACTTTAGTTCCTGGCATGTCCACTTCGTCAACATATTTATATTTATCCTCATTCCCATCATCATCAGATATTTCCGCATCAGGATCTAATTTAATAAACAGTTTCTGGCAATGTATATAGGAATAAAAGTTTCGGAGGTTTCTACTAACCATTCTTTAATTTTTCGGCTTTTAATTGCCGTTTAGCTTCTTCCACCTTCTCATATTCTTCTATAATTTCGCGATCATTGGCGGGATCATAACTACTCCAACGATCTCTTTTCTCATCATAATTTACTGCTTCATCTTGCACAATATGTTCATCGTGAACGACTAAAGAATTCGCATATCTTGCAAGAACTTTACGTGGTCTCTCCAAGCAATCCTTACTTTTATGATTTTTGCCACTGCATTGCTCTAATAGGTGACAATAAAAAGTAATCAAACGAAGGTAAAGGTTTTGTCTTGTACTCTATAAAGACATTTCCCTTTCTTGGCAAATATTACTTACCGTAATATAGCGTAAAAGGAAAGTGTTGTATATTATACAACCATACTATCTAATCATTGACATGTTAGCACAATATCGATAAGAAATCAATAGCATTTGCTATCACAAAACAGCAAAGCAAAAGAGTTATATCTCTACATAATTCACTACCATTATTCGTTCAACATATCAAATAAATAAACATATTCAAGCAATTCTTATTTCTCACATTTGTTTACAATTTTTACGAATTATACCTAAGAATTTGCCCTGAAAAAAGATAAAATATGTAGAATAATATAATGTAACAATAAAAGTTTGAAAATTTATGTTAAATTTCAAATAATTATTCTACATGTTGCTGTTTACGTTTTCCTTGGTCATTGGTATATATTTGAAAGCGTAAATCTAACTTGTTTAAATTCATTTTAGCGCATAAAAATTATTAAGTTTAAACGTTGAAAACTTCGAAAATGAAATTTCATTAATTTGGGAGTGACCTTTTAGATACAAAATTTTGCAAAGTCAACAGCCGAATGTATTTCAAGATGCAAACGAGTTATCATAACATACAAATCATCGAATAAATTATAAATGGTCGGAATATGAAAAAGAATTCGATCTGGAAACGTCTCTAAAAAAACACTTGAAAACCCATCGACCGCTATGGCAAGTAGTAAGTACTAGGGCATTTATAATGGAGCAATTTATTTATAGTCTTATTTATTCTTGCAGCCTTAAACTTGGTAGTATGTGGATGCATCGCAAAATTCATGCAGAAAGTAAAAAATACGGTTGTGATATTTGTGGGCAAAAATTTGTTCAAAAAATTAATCTCACTCATCACGCCGTCATAAGGTCGACCATAACACCGGTGAAATGCTTGAAAATATTCCTTTATATTGCTCAAAAAAGTCAACACGTACTCCAAAGGAAAAGAAAAATAATGAAAGCGCCATTGCAATAACAACACTATTTATTATTGATGACAGAAACGCAACAAGTCCATAATAATTTCCTAGTTTAACCAACTTGTCATTTCCTCGTTTCTAGTTATACATGATAACAAATCAAAAAATTCCCCCCTCAAAAATAGACCAAATTATAAAACAACAATCCTGCCAATATGCACAGTAACGAGTCCGGGCAACCGCACGTGTCAATTATTTCTATGTCAACTTAATTTATTTTATATTATTTTATTCAATATTAAATTAACCACTTTTGTTTGCGAGCAGTCTCTCTCAATCTTGTTTTTGTTATTATTAATACGTTTATTATAACGCGTAACGAGGCTTTTGGAGGTCATTTAGAGCTCTCCTTTTATATTCGATATATTTTAATATATATTAATTTATTTTTTGTCATCATTGATTGTCTTTTAGTTTTATCTCTAAAATAAAAGTCAATCTTCAGTTTCTAAATAAACAAAATTAATTGAAAATATTAAGATATAGCTAACATTCCAAAGTTTGTAAACTGCAATTCTCTTTTTGAAAAATAACACGAACTCAAAGCTTTTGGCAATAATGCACAAAAAATTACACATTTTCTTGCAAAGACATACTTCTCAAAACATCAACGACCCGATTCAAATCTAATTTATTTCGTTAAAATTTTCTCTGTCGTAGAAAACTACAAATTAGACTTTCTCTCCATATAAGGGTTTGCTTTTGATCATAACCGCTGTAACAAGACATTTGTCTATCTATATATATATTCGTATATATTAGCATACGTCGAAATTCCAAATGTTAGAAGTGGATAGAAATATTTTGCGTCATAAGAAATCTGTTACAGCGTATAATTTTCGCTTTCATCATTATTAAAAATTTCGTATTAATTTTTATGCACATATATTTTTATGTATTTTTATGTGATGCGGAGAATAAATATTGCTAATATTTATAACTAACAAGTGGTCGCTCATTTACTTACTCTTTAAAGTTGTGAAATTCGAGGTTCGCTCATTTACTTACTCTCCCCTTCATATTGCGTATAAAAAGTACCATACGTTTAGAATTGTGAGAGCACAGAGTTGCTTTTAGTAAATGTGAAATTTATGATGTTAATGTGAAATGAATGAAAATAAACAAAAGCTACACAAAAAAAGCTAAAAGCCCTAGGTAGAACGAAGTGAAATTGTATTCCCTTAGACCTACATGTTGACATTATCGATTCTTTTCTCTTATCGCAAAATATTGAGTCCAAAAGTTCTGCCAATTTGTTACTGGCTCCAATAAGATTAGTTGCATTGTCACTGTAAATATTTTGACAGCGCCATCTACACGTGATGAAACGTTTTAATGTTCTTATATAACCGTTAGTTGATAAGTCACCTACACGTTCAAGATGGACTGCCTTTGTAGCAAAACTATAAAATCCTTGTTGGCTTCTTTCCTCTAATTTCGTAGAGCGTCCATTACGATTCAAAATAATCAACCCCTGCATTTATGAATGGCCTTGCAGGTGAAAGTCTTGTTGAACGAAAATTTTCTATTATTTGTTGGCATAGTTTTGGCGAGCCTTGTTGCATTTTATTGATTCTATGATTTTCAATAATTTGTCTGAAAATTGCCAACATCTGACAGTAAGCGTATAAAAATTGCCAACATCTGAGACTAAGCGTATGTGTTTGTTTACACTTCTCAATAATTGAACATATATTTATATAATCTATTGGGGCTTTAGAGAATATAAGCGTATTGTCTAATCGCGTTTTAGAGAAAATAGCGTATTTGTTCTCAGTAATTTGTAAAAATTCCAAACATGTGAGAATAAGCGCCCGCACATTCAACTATCGTGGCACAATTAAGCAACGCGCCTGCAAGTTATTATTAAGTCGGTTAAATGTTGTTTTATAGCACCAATGGCTACCGGTATGACGTTAACATTATGTTTATTAAGCTTAAAAAAGCGAAGGCTAAGTACGTCCTATGGTCTAGAATTGATCAAAAATCATGCTTTAAAAGCATAACCACTACCTGCTTAACACCTACTAAGAAATATTATGTGTAATGCCAACAACAAGTTGCTTCGGCCCTCGTAACTGTGATGATATTATAAACTTAGCCGGGTTAGTTGCCAAATTTGACATACGCATGTAGTGAATAACGCTATGGTCTTCAGAGTACCTCTTTGACCCATCAGCTTGAAAAGGCAAATAGCGCGGGACGGGTGGATCTTTTTGTGCAAAGTACAGACATAAATTTTATGGCACCTGTAGGAGGATCAATTGTTGCAGGATTTGAAGAGTCGTCAGTCCACGCTGTAGCAAAAACCTAGGTTGGTATTAAATAGTTACGGACTGAAATTACATTAATACAATTTTTTTTCAACGTAGGTCGGACTTCTTCTTCTCAAGCACTGTCTTCTTCTCAATCACAATCCTTATAACACTATTATGCTTAAGTAAAATTGGCTATCAAGATTTAGTTAATCAGTGTAAATTAAATTTCGTATAATTGCAAAAGCAACTGGAGAAATTTGCTAAGAAACTTCATTGCCGCGTAATAAGAGCCGACACCAATACCAGCAAATGCTACTTCTAATATTATGCTAAACTAACACTTTTGTTTTCTCACACATATATATTCATCTCATTTACTAATATTACGCTAAGTTTACACTTTTGAATTTTCTCACATATTATGGTAAGTATACATCTATATCTATTTCTCACATCTTCACACGATAAGATTGTGGATCCAGTTTCACATATTTTCACACACTATAAAACAAGTTACTTGCTATATAAGACACTTACCACTGTAGAGTTAGGTCAGAGAGAAGCCAAAGTTATGGCAGATTACATACTCTTTAAATAAAACTAAAAAATATTATCAAACAAAAAGTGTGTTTCGCTACAGTTGACCAAAAAAGTTTAAATTTTTGAAAGGTAAGTAGTATATTCTTAACTGTTAATAAATAATCATTTTTTATCAATCAATATATAAATATTAGTTAGAATGCTACACACGTCATTTTATGCCATTTAATGGAAGAGAATCGAGCTTCACGACAGAGAATTGTTATAAGACGACGGAAGTCTTTCCGGGATGCTTCCAATCCCCTTAAACTACTTACGTTTTTTTGGAAGTATTTGTGATGCATATATGTATAAATTTGTATTATTGCAAGTAAATTTCTAAATAAGTTTTGAGTTTAAATACGTACTACAAGCACTTGGACCACGGGATGCTTTGAGAACAGCAAATATACCGTTCAAACCTGATTTGCAGCTTCTGAGTTTTGAAGGCTGTCAATGGCTGGTCCGTCGATGCTACTCCATAAGCGTAGCCTGAAATACGCGTTCAGATGTTGTATCGGAAATTACAGCAGAAATGCAAGTAAAAATTTGTCCCAATTGGATTCAATGGAGCATTAACGCCGACACAAACGTTGGATTTTACGAAGAATATGACCGACCAAATGACACGGACTTTCTGACACCGTTCTATATGCGATGCAAACTTTTAGAAAAAAGTCGGATATACAGTTTTACTGGCTCCTGAGTGCGACACTACCCCGAGTGCCTTTTGCTAAATAGGGGCGCCGTATAATATAGTTGCTGCTATCACCTCAGTCGCCTTTCGACAGTCTTGACCAGAGCCTCGCGTGTTTGGCAGCAGTCGCGCTAACGCCTTTGATGTTTCCGCTGCTCTTCCGTTTGTACGCTGCAGTTGCTTTTTGTATGGTCATCTGCAGTTGATCGTAATTCCTAGCGTTCCTAGCATCTTGGCATATCATTATCACCAACCGTAAATGTGGTCTTTACCAACTTCTTCCTTAAGGTTGTTACTACCCTTCTGTCGTTTCTTTAGATAATTTTAAATCCATGTAGCCATCTCTTGACTACTTTGTGACAGCGCAGATTTCTTCTAAAGTCTTGGTTACGACTGTTATTCCAATATCGTCGGCAAAACTTCCTATTGAAACTCCCTTTTACAGGGTTAATTTCAGACGGTGGTCGTACATAACATTCAACAGTGTCGGGTCTAGAACTAAATCCTGGCGTACCTCTCCCCTAACCAATCGTCCTCTGCACGATTCCTCTGTCATATCGGAGTGTCCTGCCCGAAACGTAGTTAGGCACGATATTGATAAGTTAATAGGGTACTTTTTTACCCCGATGCTGTACCACTAGACGATCTTGTTTGTTGATCCCGAAACAACGCTTGCCCTCTGTGGTTTCTACTGCAATATCGTTGACGATTTCTATTGCCTTATCCTCCTCTTTCTCCTCAGATCAAATTGACAATTCGACAGGCCGTTTGGGCGTTCCAGCGATTCTTCAATGCTGCTACTAATTAACTGTTCGTACACTTTGCCCATTGTGGCCAACAGGTAAATAGATCGATACGCTGTTAGTTTATGTGAAGGCTTATTTGGTTTCGGCGCCACGAGCGTTTAATATTTTCACATAGCCAGTAAAATTTGCCTGTTTTATAGACCCATGAGGAGGGTCTTTCTTGCCTTGCGATAGCGAAAGTTTTCTCCGTCGAGGTGAGTCTTATATCTTTATGTCTTTTGCCTTACCTCTGTCAATGGGACGTTTTCTCTAGGAACAAGGCGCCGACAATTTCCCCTGCGAACTCTACACACATCGGTTGATTTAAATGTTCAATGGTCTTCATAACCAATTCGTATGCTAGACCCCATAGCCTTTCCTTTAAGCTGTAACGAGTTTTCTTGGGCGAGGTATAACTCAGTCACTCCAATGTTCGTTGCAAGAAATTTTGAATAAAAATCCGGACCTTCGGGGGGAATGGTGTACAATTTCCTTAGTTTTATTGTTCCCTTTTTACGGGAGAGAAGTACACCAATGGGTACGGCAAGGAAAGGAACCAACGAGATGACCCGACTTCTGCTGTGGCTTACACGTGGCGCTCGATTTACTTATTGTTACTGTTATTAACTTCGTAGATTTACCGCGAAGCGCTACAAAAAAAGAACCGTTCCCAGTGTCAGAGCTGCCTCGGCGGTTTGTCTTAGGTTGGTCACTGGTATATAAGTGCACAAAAAAAAAAGTGTCCTTCAGTCTTCCAGGGATGGCGACTAACAGCTAAGTCAGCACATCCCCTATCCGTGAGTCAATGGTCCTGCAAGTCCTACAGGGATGACGACTAACAGCTAAGTCAGCACATCCCCTATCCGTGAGTCAATAGTCCTGCAAGTCCTTCAGGGATGGCGACTAACAGCTAAGTCAGCACATCCCCTATCCGTGAGTCAAGAGTCCTACAAGTCCTTCAGGGATGGCGACTAACAGCTAAGTCAGCACATCCCGTATCCGTAAGTCACAAAAAAACTCTTAATAAAGGTCAACTTGTCGATTTGTCCGTGGGCACTTACCTCCTTAGACGGCTATGACACCAAAATGAACGAGTCTCTGCGATGCGCTGTTCTTTTATAGTTTGAGTCTCACTCGCTTGTCCTATTGCCAACATGTTCTATGTGTTTACATGAGTTTTGAGGTACTATGCTTATGTGTATGCTTAACTT